TGTAAAGATCTCCTAGTATTAAGGCTTTGCTTTCTCTGAACCAAAGGCTGTTGGTTTTAACACCAGTATATAAGTCCTGAGATCTGATCTGAACAAGATCCTGTCTTGTCTTTCATCTCTTTCTTCCTTTTTGTGTGAGACAGGGCTTCTGTGTAGCCCTGGTTGTCCTAGAACTCACTCTTGTAGATCAGGCTAGCCTTGTATTCAGAGATCCCTCTGCCTCCCAAGAGCTGGAATTAAAGGCGTGTGCTGCCACCACCTGGCTGTCTTTCGTTTCAAGAAGCAGTGCAAGTTCTTGATTAAGGGTATGTGTAATATGTACAGTCTGGCCTAGCTTTGAACCCTGACTTCAGCAATGAACAAGTTAGGCTAATAATTGTTCTCTGCCTTGGTCTGCACAGTTGTAAAGCAACAGATAGGGACTGAAGAGATGGCTCAGGAATGAAGAGCACTGAAGCTCTTCTATATCACCTGAGTTTGGTTCCCAGCACCCACTTCAGGCAGCTCATAACAGTCTCAATCCAGCTCCAGAGGATCCGACACCTCTGGCCTCCATGGGCACCTGCACTTATGTGCACAGACACACACACCTAGATAAAATTAAAAACAGTAACAATACATAATAAAATAATGTGGTGTCTACCTACAGGAAAGGCTATATATAGTTAAATGACCTAGAGTTCTTTTGCTCAGTTGGGACAAAACCAGGAACAGACAAAATGCCCGTCAGACCTGACATCAGCGGCTCTGGACTCTTTAGTGTACTGTATGCTCTGAGTGTCAGTACCTCAACATCCAGCCATGGTTGGTCAATCCTCAGCAGCCAAAGCTACTCGTTCTTGGGGCCTCTCTGGAACCCTTCCAATGGCAGGGCCACTTGTCCCCTGCCGCTTCTCTACAGTCCTACTCTTCATTCTTGGCCTTTCTCGGTTTTCTGTTCTCTACAGTACTTCCCCTTCCACAGTTCTCAGCTTTCCTCTGCGCCCAGGAGTTCTGTAGACATCCTCTAGCTGCCAGGTGTGCCCAAGTCTAGCGGCCCTTGGTTGTGATCTGCTCTTGGTGCAACTACCTCAGCCTACTCTACCCAAGATAAAACCCCGAGTAGGAAATAAAATGACAAAAACGTACTGGAGACTGCTGTAGCACAAGAGGATAGTGTGAAAGATGGAGGTCTCCTGGACTACTCATGAGACAGAGCAGGGGGGACAACTGTTCATATGTTTAGAGAAGGGAAGGATCATATGCACGTACAGTCACTGGTCCACCAGTCTGTGCAGGGCTGCCTGTTTTAAGACCAGGGTATAAATGTTTAGATCTGCTTTAGGTAGATATGTTCCTCCCTAACCAAGCTGGGAACATCTGCAAAGTGGGCGGAGATATAAACAGTGGCTTCTAGGGCAGCTATGACAGCTGAGGCTGCTTCTGCAGCTGGAACAAAGCCTCTCAGGGTTGTCGGATGACAGTCTTCAGGTAACTGAAGAAGTGGCTTCTCAACGAACAGCTTCATCTCATATCTTGTTTTCCTTTGGGAATGGGTTCCTTCAGTATCATTACTAGAATCCCTGGTTGTTATGGATTAGTTGATATTCTGCAGTGGGGATACACTGAGCCATCAGTCCGTGCTACAGTTTGGATATGGTGTGTCTTCACTCAGACTCATGTTGAAATTTTATTTCCAGTGGTGTTGGTATTAGGAGGAGTTGTGGATAATCTTAACTGTCAACTTGCCTAGATTTGGAATCACCATGGAAACACATCTGGTGTGTGTCTAGGAAGACGTTTCCAGAAAGGTTTAACTGAAGAGGGAAGTCCTGCTCTCAATACAGATGGCGCCAGCTCCTGCGCTGGGGTCTAGGACTAAGTACAGGGAAACCAAGATGAGCGACAGCATTCAGCCCTCTCTGCTTACAGGCTCCAGGGTGAGGGGCGGCCGCATGCTCCTGCTGCCAAGCTTCCCCTCTTGTGATGGACAGTATCCACAAACTGGGAGCCCAAACAAATCCTTCCGTTCTTAAGTGTTTACTATGTATTTTCACAGTCATGAGAAAAGTAATGAATAGCGGGGGTAAGGCCTTTCAGGAGTGATCAGAAGGGGTACTACCCTCATGAGTATGCGTGTGCAGTCTCATGGGATCTCACTTGCTCAGGAGACTGTTATAAACGGAAGATGGCAGCTTTGCTCACTATCTCACCCGTGCTTTCTCGCACGAGCTAATTTCTTCTTCCAATTCTACTGTGAGTAGAAGCCACATGAAGCCCTCACCAGACACAGCTGCTTGACTTTAGACTTCCAGCATCTTGAACAGCTCAAACAATCCTTTCTTTTCTGAATTACTGAGTGTCAAGTATCTGGTAAAGCAACAAAAGTTTAAGAGGTCTTGGATTGGCTTTTTCAGTGTTGATGTAATGCAGATGTATTATAGCTCATATAGATCTGTACTCTCTGTACACAAGGCAGTGCAATGTCACAAACCAGGAGTCCTAATACCTATAGAAGGAACCCTGTGTAAGTAGTGTTACATCTTGAGTATGTTTTTCCCTTAGACTCTTAACTAAACACTGGCTAGACTCCTACAGTCAGTACATAATAATTCTAGCTGGCAGAAAATAGTACATAATAATTCTAGCTGGCAGAAAATCAGTAAATATATGAGCTATGTGAATTACAGTTTAATTATTTAAAAACAGCTTTAAGTTTGCATTTGTGTGTTGTGCTCTACAGAAAACATACACTTTCCATGTCCTCCAAATAGATTAAATTTATACAAGATTTTACTGCCTTTACTTTGGCTAAGCTATACAAAAGAGCAAAATTATAACTTTAAATCAAAACAGGGTAGGGTAAAGCTAAAGAATTTTACTCAACAAATCAGGAAGGAAAACAAATATAAAAATTATTTTAAATAAGCTGGGCAGTGGTGGTGCAGGCTTTTAATCACAGCACGTGGGAGACAGAAGCAGCTGGATCTCTGAGTTCAAGGCCAGCCTCGCCCACAGAGTGAGTTCTAGGACAGCCAGAGGTACACAGATTGGGGTGGGGGTGGGGGGACAGATTACAAGTGGAACTTTTACACTAATCTAACTGGCTCACTGTATTTGTGGACTGTGCCACATGTGCTCTGTTCTTTTACACAGAAAGATGAAATATTATAATACTGTCAATATAGATTTGTATGCATACCCTGGTATATATGAACTGAGAAAAATATCTAAAAGATATACAGCAAAATGCTGGCAGATTTCTCTCCAGGTGGCAGGACTAAAGGCAGCGCCTGTTTTCTATACTTTTCTGTAGTTTACTAAATCTTCTGTAATGAATTTAATCATTTGTTTAGAAAAAGAAGCTATTTAAGATGCCAAATTACTTAATATTTACATTTACTGTAATGATAATCAAATTGCCAGAGACAGAAGAGAAAGAGATTAAGGAAAGACTTCAAGACGGTCCACGGGGAGCTGGCAATAGCTCAGCAGTTTAGAGCACTTGAGAGGACACGGGTACTATTCCCAGCATCCACATGGCAGTTCACAACCCCAGTTCCAGGGTATCTGATGTCTTCTTCTGGCATCTGTGGGCACACATGTGATGCACGTATAGGCGAAACACTCATACAAATAAAATAAATATTAAAAATGTTAAAAAAGTTCCATCTGGAAGATTAAATATTTTACAGAATAGGTAATGACTGATCTTTAAACAACGAAAGAGAAATTCTTACTTTACAAGTGACTTAATGCAAAGCTTCATTAGGCAACATATAATTCAAACAAGCACCTGGCTCATAACCACTAATGCTCCCTTCCGTTCCTTCAATAGAATACCTATGGATTTACAACAAAGACACAACCTACACGACCTACCACCAAAACCGTAGGACAGCTGTACAGGACTGGGTTGCAACTGACTGACTCTAAAACAGACAGACAACAAGCAAAAATCTCCCCAGGAGCTCACAGCATAAACTGCTTTTGGAGCACCAGCAGCCAAGAAATAAGGTGGGAAGATGCTTTCCTCCCTCCCTCCCCAGCAACACCGCAAGTCATGGCCCCAGAGCTGGAAAGACAGAACAAGGAGACAGCACTGTGAGGCAGACGACCTTCACAGTCACCACCGAGAAATCTTGTATCATCACATAATAACATTCCAGCCAAATCAAAGAAGGATTTTAAAAATGAAAGCCAGGACCAATTATTTCATCTTGGGCCCTCGGCTAAAATAATTTCAGGAAATGATTAACAGATTTGAATGACATAATTTAGTACCAAGTTTTGGCAAGGACTCAAGGAAGCAAGTACTTTCATGAACTGGTGGGAACAAATTGGCATATTATTTCTGGCGGGCAATCTGGCTAAATGTGTTGAAATCTTTAAAATGTTTATACTCTTTGACTCACTAAGTCAACGTCTAGGAATTTTTCCTGAAGAAATAATCAGAGATATAAAAAATTACTTTTAATATTCCAAGACCAGAAAGGACATAAACAACAAATAATACACACATGGCAATAACAGTGGACTAGTGAATATAAAAATTACTTGATAAATCCTAGCTGGCATTTAAAACAACATTTAAAGAGTCAATGCTGAGAATATGCTCAGAAAGCATTAAATGCATCAAAAAGGCAATCAATGTATACAGGATGGTTCTAAATTTTATTTTATCCTATGTTCGTATGGTGCTAGGAATCAAATCTAAAGCCTCAAGGATGCTATGAAAGCATCTTCCAACTAGATGTATCCCACCGCTGATATTCTCCATAACTACATCATACCATATGATATAATTCATTATATTTCCATTAAACTTTGAACTATCTGTACAGAAATCTGAGTGTTTTTACTTTGGAGTCCCCAGTGCCAATCTGTCTACATTGTAATAGATCTTCAAATTAGAAAGCTGGCTTCACAAGGACAGCTGAACAACTGATTCTCTTCGCCCCATGATTTTAAGGTCTTGAAGAGAAATGTCAACAAATACTAGTTGAGAGCCCTCTCCTTACCTTCGCTAGGAGGCTGGAAACGTGTTTAATTTCACCATTCGCCTTTAGCAATTCTTGTCTGAGCTCCGTGCAAGACAGTTGCAATTGATCTTTCTCAGCTCGAGCCACTTTCAGCATTTCTTGAACCTCGAAGTTCTCTGCCGTCTGCCCCATGGTACTGCTGGCCTCCATGGCCTTTTGCTTATCAGTCTCCAAATGAGCCTTCAAGGACCCATTCTCTATTTTCAAGCCTTCCAAGGTAACCCTACATTCCTCCAAAGTTTTGGCCATCACACTATTATTACATCGTTCGTGCTCTAGGAACCCATTCAGTTTTTCATTTTCCTCCTTCAGGTGCTTGATCATGTCTATAGCTCCTTGGTTTTCTTCCTCAACCTTCCGTAGGCTGCAGGTCAGCTGCTGCTGAATGTTAAGCAGCTTCTCTCTTTCAAAGCGGCTCTTCTCCAGAATATCCGTGCACTTCTGCTCCAGTTCAAGGATTTTTCCTCCTTGAGCACTAGGCTCCTCATTCTTCACTCGTTCTTGTAAAAGGTTGATCAGTTTCTCGTTTTCCTGACTCAGCTGTTCTGCCCTCTCTCGGTGCTGGTGGAAAGAGGTCTCTAAAATGGTCTTCTCATCCACCAGCTTCTCGTTCTCGGCTGTCAGTTCCTGCACCATCTGCTGCTGGTCTGATAACTCCTGCAGAGTAGCCTGCAGCTCTTCAGCAGTGCTGTGCTGATTCTCCTCCATCTTCTGTATCTTCTCAGTCAGAGATGCCAAGGACAACTCGCTCGCATTGTTTGGGGAGCTCCCAATAGGGGAGCACTTGGAGCCCTTAAAAGAGTTGCTGGTGGCTGACAGGGGCCGAGATGGGGTGTCTGCAGTGATATGCTCAAAATCTGAGGCATCTGGTGACAGAGAGGCTTTAGTGACATCACTGCTTGAAGACCCCGATGTCCGCAATGTACTTCCATGTGTGCTTCTTCTATACTCGTCCACCTCACTGGACAACTCATTTCCAACTGGGCTTCCGAAGCTGGACTCTTGGGTTATGGATGTCGGGCAGCTGCTGTCACCAGTGTGACTTGCTGCCCCTTCTGAATTTGGTGACTGTTCAAGGTAAGTCAGTTTCTCCTTCAAGGCCCTGTTTTCTTCCTCTAGGTCAGCAAGTTCTTTCTGAAAGGTCTTGTTCTTCTCCTCCAGCGTTCTTATCAAAGGTTCTGCATCACCTACTGGGGTTGATGTTCCCTCTGCGCTTGAGTCTGATGCATTGGTATCCTCAGTGCTTAGGGCCCACCTTTCTTTACATTTTTTTAGTTCACTTCGAAGTCGGTTGATTTCACTGTCTTTGGTTTTGGCTTCTGCCAGAAGTTCCCGAACCTGGGACTCGAGTACAGACTTCTCTGTGCCTTCATGGTCTTGCTTAGGTTTTGCAGAGGTGGGCCTCAGGTGCTTGGTAGGAGTGGGGGTGCAGGAAGAAGTTGGACTAGAGCCCAACTTCTTTGAGCTGGAGGGACCACGTGGCACAGATCTCTCTCTTGAGATAGTTACTGAGAGTTCTCGTGGAGCTGGGATGCCTGTCCGTTTGGATGTTGGAACAGCCCCTAGAGACAAAAGATGAAGAAAAGAAAAGCAAGCATTTTAATAATGAAACTCAAATGTCTTCAAAACATGGCTGTCACCACCAATCCAATTCTTCTCCTCCGAGTAGTTACTCTGTTTTGAGAAGGGCTTCTGTACTCTTCCCACGGGCTTGGGTATTAAGGAAAGCAGACTCAGCCTGGGCAATCCAGAACAGTCCTGTTCCCACCACAGTTGGTGATTCAAAGCAGAGACACATAGTTCAATTAAGATCTATGAACACAACCAGGAATTCAAAGCTGCCACACTAGGTGGGGACTCAGAGCAGAGAACTGATTAACCATCAACAAAGAAGCTTCTTCTTGCAGCAGACGGTAATTAACAAAGAGATCCACACCTGGACAACGTGCAGAGCGTGAGGAACTCTGGAGCACTCAGCCCAAATGGGATGGTTTTACCAAAGCCCCCCCCTTAAGGATAAGGGATCTACGTGGAAGAGGAAAAATTTTACGAGCCAGAGGTGGTGGGTGACTCCCAGGAAACAGTAGTTCCAGCTCTAACAGGACTGACAGACATGTGAACTCACACTGACAGCATACATACCACACAGATTCAAATCAGACACAATCCCAGCACTGAGAGGAGAGGCAGGCACAAAGTCCCACTCCTAACCAAGAAACTATTTGCAATTGATATGTGTTGGGAAAGAGCAAATTAGTTTTCATCAATGCAATGTCACTGGGCATATCAATCACTCTCTGGGACAGGTCACATGACCACGAACTCCATGCTTTTTTTTCATGCACATTTTTTGTCTTATTGATTTTTTTGTTTGTTTGCTTATCTGTTATAATTTCCATTTTTGTTGTTGGGTTTTTTTTTTAGAGGGATCGGGGAGGAGCTAGGGAGAGGAAAGCATATGATCAAAATATACTGTATAAAAAAATTCTTATATAAAAATTTTAAAAAGATCTATAAATATTAGAAAAAAAAATTTTTTAAGGGATGCAGGGGCAGGCTGGTAAATATCACTAGCCATCAGGAAAAAGGTACACGATGTGGGAATGGCTGGCAACCACTCTGCCGTCTTGTGAGAAGGGTGGAACTTTGCGGTACAGAAAGAAGAAAACCAAATTCTTAATGGCATCATATCAACACTGGAGCTTGGCCTATTGCTGATCTTTCAGTTACAGCAGCTGAGTTACATGTTTCCTGTAAGTCACTCTGAATTCTTAATACAGATACACAGATAATGTTGGAAACTAAGTAAAATACAAGTTTACTTACATTTCCCAATGACATATTTTACCTGAGGGCAACTTTGAGGTAGAAAGAGGGGCTGGGGATATAGCTGAGTTGTAACACACGTGTCTGGTATATCTGAGGCCCTGTACTTTATCTTCAATGAGGAAGAGCAGGCGGGGAAAGGGAGGACTCTAACAAAGAATTAGAAAACAGAACTGGCATGGAAGGCAGAAGCAGGCTGAATCTGAGTCCAAGATTACACTGGTCCACAAAGTGAGTTCCAGGACAGCCACGGCAACACAGAGAAACCCTGTCTTGAAAACAGCAACGACAAGGAGGAGGAGGAGGAGGAGGAGGAGGAGGAGGAGGAGGAGGAGGAGGAGGAAAGGAAGGAAGGAAGGAAAAAGAATAGAAAACAACTGGTGTTCTCCTTTATAGCCACAGAGAAACAAAAACAAATGGGGTAAGGATGTGGAATAGCTACAAATTTTAAAGAGATTCATAAAACAAGGAAATGAGACAGAACTTAGAATATTGTTATGAGAAATGTAAGTTCAAGGACTTATTCCATTTTACTATATTAGAGAGAATGCCAATAATAACTAGGGGTAAAAACATTAAAGTTCACACAGGGGTCACAGGGAAATGAAGACTCTGGACTTAAACTTATTTAACAATTGCAAACCTCTGGAGTCTGGGCTGACTGTGATAGCCTGGTCTCTAATCAAGAAAGATCCCAGATATGATCCATCTCTCTCTCTCTGCAGTCTAGGAAGGGGGTGTAGAATGCACCCTTGTCTGGTCACAGTCTAGTGTTAAGAGACTCGGAGTACAGCCTGACCCAGGCTGCCAAAAGAGGGAGTAGTAGCTAGTCTCAACACAGTAATGGCAGTCATTGCTAAGTCCTATGTTACTTTACAGAAACCCTGGCTCTTTAACTTTTAAATAATAGTGGAGCTAGACAGATAAATGAGCACTTGTTGCTCTTGCAGAGAACCAGGTACAGTTTATCAGCACCCACAAGGTGGCTCACAACTATCTGTAACTCCAGTTCCAGGGGATCTGACACCCTCTTCTAGCTTCTGCAGGCAGAACACTAAGTCCTCATGTGATACACATTCATGAACATAAAATAAACAAATCTAATAATATTAAATTATGTTCTTCAGACACTGAGTACTCTGACAGACTACTAAAACTTGTATTTATCTAGTTAATTTGCTTACATCACACTAAATTACTCAATAAAGAAAAGGTTTAATTATTCTTATAAAATGAAGATTGCAACCACTCAGCAATAAAATGTTTTTGTAAGACCAATCTTCTGGAATGAAGTCATCTTGGAGAGGGCCATGCTAAAGACTGGAAGGTCACTAATGTTTCAGAGTAACTGTGTCCATTCAACAGGCAAACCTGCAGATGTAGGATTATCACAACAGTATCTGCCATTCCTCAAATATCACATTAACAAGGCTCCTCTTCCTTCCTTCCCCCATTCTCTTTCCACCTTTAGTCATTTGTTGCTTTTCCTTCCTTTTGCTGCCAAAGTTTAATCTGTTCTTATAATTATTACTTGTGCCTTGTATAAACCACTCAGAATTTAACAGCAAACCAACACTTATTTATGAAATATACCCAGTATGTTGTGAAACATAAAATGCAAATATTTGCTACATCTATTCTTTTTTTCTTTGTAAAATTACACCGCTTTTTTCTAAGGCTTTCTGTATCTCTGTATTCTCTCCATTCTGTCTAAGGACCTTCAAATCATATTTAAAATCTCCCTCCTCTTTTCTTTCTGCAACCGACCAACTGGCGAATCCTATCAACTGTTTTAGAAGTGTTCCTAAGCTGTTCCTTTCCTTTTGTTTTGGTCTGAACCTATAATATTTTATGTACACGTCTGAGAACTCTTTCTCTCAGGTTTTCCTAACTCCAGCCTCCCATACCTTTGGGACAAACTAAACAATCAGTTAAGTATCGCATCTGTATTTCTGTCCCAGAATCTGTGTTACTTTTTTGTTTTGTTTTCAGACAGGGTCTCACTATGTACCCCTGGCTGGCCTAGAGCTCTCTATGTAGACCAGGAAGGCCCCAAACTCACCAAGATCTACCTGCTTCTGCCTCCCCAATGTTAGGATTAAAGGCATGACCATGCCCGGCCAGAATTCATTTCTTTTTTTTTTTTTTTTTTTTTTTTTTTTGTTTTTCGAGACAGGGTTTCTCTGTGGTTTTTGGAGCCTGTCCTGGAACTAGCTCTTGTAATTCATTTCTTATCCAAGTCTATGTCAACAGCAGACTTTTGTCCCTAATCATTGTATTCGACCTCATTTACTTCTCCTTGACTCTCAACACATCCAGAAAACTCTAGTTGAAATCTCCGGCATTATACATGGGCAAAGACTTTTCAGTGTGGCTGCTTTAGAGTACCCACCCTCCTGACAGTAGCCCTTCCGCAATGGTCAGTAAGTCAGTCCAACAAACTCAACAGCTCCCTAGGGTGAACTCTGATGAAACTGAACTTTATCTTTAGGACTTTATCGGAGGGGACACACATTGCTTATATCCTCCTCCCCACATGGGAGTAATTTCTTACAGCATATAGGAAATTCACTTCTTAATGCTATTATGTCTTGTGGTATTCAGAAAGAGGAACAGTAAATAAAATGGTAGAAGGATGTAATAATGGAAATTGTTTTACTAAAGATGAATTTAAATATATGAAAACTAAGATGGGAGGATGTTTCCAGAATGGAAAACTAGAAAGTTTACACAAATTTTGAAGGTCTGAGTAAGTGATTTAAGGTACATAAAGGATGAAACTTAGAGATGATGTATATGGGTTTTAAATTTTCAAAGATCAACAATCAGAAGGACTGGCTAAAATGTGTATGTCTAGTCTAAGTTTACTTAGAAATGTTTGGTTACTGAAATAATATACAGTAATTCAAAGTACCAGACTGGTGTAACTGATCTTCTAGCTGTTCAATAACCAGACTTGGAGGCTATACTAATGTGGTCCAAGGGACTAACAAGGAAAATAGTTTCTCCTTGCATTCCAAGGTCACTGAAGTCCCAGGGGACTGTGAGCTATCCCCTGAATTGTTCTGTAACTTCAGAGGGAAGTTCTCTTGTTCAGGGAAGTCTCTACTATATCCAGCATCAAGTCTACAAAGAGGAGGATCAACACGGAGGAAAAGTTTCCTCACTGTTTTCAAGGAAAGCCACAGTCAGTCGAGCCAAAACTTATCCTCAGAGATACAGAACTGGTAAAAGAAAGGTTAGAGGAGCCAGAGGTTCCTCTCAAGCCCAAGTGACCCCTGAGGACTAGATCCTCAACTAGCCTTGACAGTCCAAAAAGAAAAATAAATTTTGATCATATTCATGGTCTTAAACACTCAGCAGAAAAGAAAAACCAAAGTCTATGAATATTGGTAACAGTCCCCAAATACCAGACATAGGTCTACATGAGATGTTATTTAGACAACTATATTTAACTATTTGCTTTTTGATTAAAAAAATATGTTATTCAGATACAAGACTTCAGAGCTTGGATCACTGAAGCACCTGTGTATAGCCAAGGGAGAGCCTGGTCCACTATTGTTCATAGTTCATAACCTGGTCCTAGTTCTAGCCTGAGTCTACCTCTGCTTCCCATCTGACACTGCCATGTAATAGCTGAAAGTTCCTGCATTGAGCCTAGCACCCCGACCACCATGCCTTCCTGACATGAGCCTGTGGGTTATGGTAAACCCTTCCCCTCAGTTCTTTTAGATAT